TTAAGCGTTTCCAAAGAAGCAAGTGACTGATGTTAAAAAGCCACTCAGTTTTAAAGAATTGCCAGGAAACACACAGTTTGAAGAAAGAAAGAAAGAAAGAAAGAAAGAAAGAAAGAAAGAAAGAAAGAAAGAAAGAAAGAAAGAAAGAAAGAAAGAAAGAAAGAAAGAAAGAAAGAAAGAAAGAAAGAATCTCCTGCTGAGTTTGTTCTTAGTGGTAGGAGATTTTATTTTGTTTTTTGTAGATGTTATACCGCAGCCTAATTTTGAGAATTAAAATGATTTAACTTGATTACTACATGGGCATTCAGAATCATTTATGAAACATAAAAGCAAAGATTTTTGACTAGTCACCAAATTATTTTGCAGCTTCAAGAAAATGAAGGCAATGTGCATGCAGTTTGTCAGCCATAACAAATATAGTTAGGTGGACTGTTACATGATGACAGGTTGTCCACTTGAATTTCATCAGTGTGGATTCTGGAGTAATTGTTATAGTGGCTCACACCTGGACTACATTCAAATGAAATGTTTAATCATTAGTTTAGCATTTGAGTAGGAACCCCAGATTCATATGCTTTCATCCATTCTTTTTCTTCGGTTCCACTAGAAGGAGAAAATCAGAATCTTCTGGCTCTGTGTAAGATCAGCTAACAGTTTGGTGCATTATTCATAGCAATTTGAAACAAGCTATGACTTTTAGAAAGCATAGATGTGACTCCTGGGCAGCCATTCCTTTAATGAGGACATTGCTAATCACTTTGTTAATAATCTGAGGTGAATGTTTAATGTTTCCTTAGTGGGACCTTATGTTTAGAAGTTTTAGAAGATGCTGTCCTAAGGATTAACCTTCATGGCTTTGAGCTTGTGTCTCCCCCATGCTACTTCTTAAAGGGGCAGATATAAGATAAACAAAGTTTGGGAGAGTTACATGAAGACCGGGAGAATCATTGGATACAGAGTGTCATTTTCCAGAAAACTGATAAGATATGTAAGATTAGTAGAGTTGTTTATGCCATGCCTGCCCACTTTTATATTTATAAATACACTTTCAACAATGCTGAGGTTAGGGGCACTGGACCCCTGCATAGTTCAAAACCTGTGTAGGGTTAGAGTTATCTTATGCCCCCCTCCAAACATAACTGCAAAGCATAAACAGTTGATTAACACATGCACACACACACACATATGCAGAACACGTACATTTACTGTATTAACTGCAACATCCCCCAGCACCATCCCCAGTGGCCACATGGAGCCACCATGTAAGGAGAAGGGGCTAGCTGGGCAACCATCATTGGACTGTGGGCTGCTTCACCACCAACAAGAAGGGCCTCAATAAATCTGAGACCCATCTTTCTCAGGCCACTTCCTGGAGATGAATAGCAGAACGGTGCTTACTAAATATTTATTTATTTATTTATTTGAATACTGATTGATTGATGGAATAAAAATCTGTATAATCAGATCAGTGCTGCTTGAACCCATTAAATTCAAAGGAAAAGTGTAAGCCAATAGGTGGAACACTATAAATTTTCTTGTTTATGAAGGCTCTTGTTTACAAAGGAAGGTACGGTAATTCTGTTTAACATGATCCTTGGCACTTCTCACTGCTTGGGGCAACATAAAAATGCTTACAGGGAATATACACAGTATGGTAGGATGCAAAGTTCGGGGAGCAACCGCTTAAGGGTTTCCTCAGGTGGGAAGGTGGCAGGAGATCTGGCCACATCCTTGACATCAGGGAGATGTCCACACCTCCTGATTTCTTTAGTTCACTGGGTGGTGCTTGTCCGCCTGGTGTGTTGGCCAAAAACAAAGCTTTGCTCCTTTTCACACATAGAGAAGGTGAAAGAAGAGCAGTATGCTCTCAGCTGATACATGTAAATATAAATGCCAGCTGAGAGTGGAGCTGCCTTCATTCCCCTCCTCTCTTCTTTTACTGTGGGGTGCTCTTTTCATTTTCTTTAATTTGAAATCTTGCATGTTCATGCCTAGGGAATATGACTAGTATGTAGAACTACTGCCTTATTTGTTGTTGGTAAGGGAAGGGTGTCAGCCCTGTGCCTATTTTAGTATCCATTTGTTCTGCAAGAATGATCATATCTAGTTAATAACTACTGTTCAAGAAGGAAACTTGATTCGGTAATTGCAAAAATCTCTTCCTTCTTTTTGCTCTCATTCTCTGGAGTGAACACAGATTCAGACCACTGAGCAAAAGGTCTTTAGATCTTTTACTAAATGGCAGACAGAATACAGATGCAGAACATCCAAATTCCATCTTTTGAAAGAATGGTTGCCTTAGATCTGTTTGAACTGCTATTTGGGCTGAGCTACAGTAGCCCACTCAATTACAGATTTCAGTTTTATAGAAAAGAATTGGTGTGCTCTCTTATATAATAGCAGGCAGATGTAAAAGCATTTGTGATAGCACTATATCAAAATGTCTCTCTGCTTTTCCTTCTCACCAGTTGACTGAGTCTGGATATCATTAATATCTAGCTTTTACTTGTGAATATATGAGAACAATCTGTAAATTCCCTCTGGCACGTACTACTAACTGTTCACAATACAAAGTTTAATTGCCTTAGCTCCTTACTGAGTACTTGGTGACATTTTGTTTTTGGTGGAAAATCAAGATAAACTAGGTTTTATCACAACGTTGTATCGTTATTTTAGCCCATCACTTTTATAGGTCACATCAGAGTGAGCAGGTTATAACATGTGACATGCTTTCATGCATAATTAGCACCATTTTTTCTACCCAGTAGTGGTAAAGTGGATAGTCTTTTCATCCAGCGGGGCTCATCCAAAAACATCTGTTTCTCATAGTTCATGGCTTTTCTCATATTGCATTAGCATGCTTTCCTGTGTGATTTGTCATAAGGAGGTAAACACAGGCATAATTTATATGTACATATGATTGCTGCGGCATGGGATCCTGAGGAAATCCCAGTGTAAGAGGGAAATTGCAAGGAATATGTGTTCCATTTAAAATCAAGTATCATCCTCAGAATGCGTTTGTTAGCACTTTACCCATCATGATTCAGGAAAAAACCTTTGTCAGGGGCAGTCTGCATAATGGCCTGCTTTCTATCGCATAACCCATTATATTTGTTGCCTCTGAGGAAGGATGTTTTCTCCTAAATAGAAGGGTGCCAAATTCTCTCCTAGCATTGTATTGGATAAATAGTTCTATACTGGACTGAAGTGGTATGGAATGGCTTGGCCAGTTTAGATAAATTTCAGTGATAGATAAAATCCCCTTTAAAAGAACATCAGTTTGCATCAGTTCAACATAGAATGAGAATTAAGATTAAGATTGACTGTCATATATGGTAGATGCTTACTGATGTTGGATGGATGCTTGTAGCTTTTTATGGTGCATTTTTTGTGTTGATAATGGGAGGAGGACAATTATTGTAATAGGACACAAATAAGGAAGTTTTTAAAAATTACATGTGATTTGAGATATGACCCCCTAACCCCCATAGCTTAATATGTGGTGTCGACGTTTTGTGTTCTTTATGTGAAAAAACTGGAGGTGAACTAGATTTCACTAAAACACACACACACACACACACACACACACACACACACACACACACAGAGATCAGATAACTGCAAGAGGGAAGAGAGAGAGAGAGAGAGAGAGATCAAGTAACTGCAAGAGGGAAAAAAATCATTTCCCTGAAATAAAGAAAGTGACAGCCAATCAATATTTAGATTTTGGTTTTTGGTAAATAATATCATCATTGGTTGTTCTGGGTTTTTCGGGCTCTTTGGCCGTGTTCTGAAGGTTGTTCTTCCTAACGTTTCACCAGTCTCTGTGGCCCGCATCTTCAGAGGACAGCAACTTCTGCTCTGGTGTAGTTGGCTTGGGAGTGCAGTATTTATGGTTGTGAGATAGGCTTTTGTCTTTTTCTGTAGTTGGGTGATTAGTGTGTCTTGTTGTGGGTGTATTGTTGTGCTAAGGAGAAGAGATTAGCTGTTCCTGTGGTTGATGGGTGTCATTAGCTGGTCTTTTGTGTGTAGTGATCCCCTGTCCTTGTGGCTGGGGAGAGTTCGTTGACCTTTTGCACATTGTATTTTTGAGAGCTGGGAGCCAAGGTTTGTTGAGCTTCATACTTTCCTCTTTTTAGTTGCAACTGTGCAGGTGCTTGTGGATTTCAATGGCTTTCCTGTGCAGTCTGACGTAATATTGCTGGTGTTGTCCAGTATTTCAGTATTTTGAAATAGAATTTCATGTCCAGTTTGTTTCAGGGCATGTTCAACTACTGCAGATTTTTCTGGTTGTTTTAGTCAGCAGTGTCTCTCATGTTCTTTGATTCTGGTGTGGATGCTGCGTTTTGTGGTTCCAATATATACCTGTCCACAACTGCAAGGTATCCGGTATATTGCTGCCATGGTGAGGGGCTCCCTTCTGTCCTTTGCTGACCGTAACATTTGTTGTATTTTTGTAGTGGGCTTGAATACTGTTTGCAGGTTGTGTTTTTCAAAAGTTTCCCCATGCGGTCCGTGACCCCTTTGATGTATGGCAGAAATACTTTATTTGTGGGTGGCTGTTTTTCTTCTTCAGTTCGGTGTTGTTTTCTTGGTTTGATGGCTCTTGTGATTTCATTTTGGAGTAGCCATTTGCCTGTAGGGTTCTAATGTGTTCTAACAGATGGAATATTTAAGCATCTTATTCTTTGATAGTTTATATCTCTTAATGCTAATTTTCTGGTCCCCTTAAAATATTTAAATGGTTCTGTTTTGGTTGTTTTAAGACTCCCAGAATTAGTACATGTAGCATAGCAGTTTGTATCATATATGATATCACAACTGTTCATTTCAAAGATATAGAAATACATTAAGCCAAAGATTTTCCTGGATTCTGGCTTACTTTGTTACACAAATGCTCCCACTTTGTCCAAGGCTACCATCCACTTGAGTTGTGAACAGATATACGTTGCTTAGCAGCACAATGCTTAACTTGTTTTTTCTTTTCTTTTTATGGCCAGCTACTTTCCATTATCTGAAGTTCTGTGGGCTGATAGAAATCCTTCTGCATAAACATCATTGTAAAGATGAAGATGGAGTTTTTAAACAGGCATTTTGTTGCAGTTTGTTCCATATTCTGTTTGACAGGTAAGATAACTTCTAACTTTAACTTTAATCATCCTCAGATGCTGAAGTGATTGCTATGTTGAAATCTTGTTCACACTTAAGCATGATTAAGCACCATTGAACACAATGGATCTTCTGCTTATAAGACTGCATGGTAAGCCCTATTGAGCTATACACAAAAAGAGTTAAAATATATTAAGCTGTTCCTTTAAAACCATTTAAAAACAAATATAGTTCATATAGTTAAGTATTTAATATAAACAGGTAGAGTCTAAAGCCATTTGGACCCCATGCACAAACTTGGGACAGGGCACGGAACTTCCATTTTTTATTTATGTCTAACTATAGCCCATAGTAGCTTATAGATACTATACAAACAACTCCCTTTACTGACAGAGAGATCTTTCACGCATGATATAGACTCCTGTTCCTAGACAGAAAAAATCTAAAGCATCCTCATGTATACATAGAATGCTATCTTAACTCTCATTAGTAATGAAGACACTGGAGACTGATGGGTTTGTAAATGGGCACTACTAGCTATACACCTGATACAGACTAGTCACAAATTACCAAGCAGATTGACCTGATTCAGACCAATTTCTGTGTGTTCAAGCAGAATGGCTAGATTATGAAGTAAATCTATAAAATATCCAGATTTAGAGCACAATTCAAACTGAATGGTGCACAAATCACTTCTGCCTACAATTTTAAGCAAACTTCAATTGTGCTTAGCACTCAAATCCTGATGCCAGGTCTCTAAAGTTTAGCAAGCTTACTTCCCTCTTTAGGATGGATCATATCTCCCAATTTCATATACATCAATGCAGGAACAAAAAGGTTTTGGTCCAGCACATCACCTCTGCAGATGTAGAGATCAGTTTTATTTATTTTTTTTATTAAGCAACCTTTATTGGCATAAAACAGTTAAAACAGTTAAAACGTACAATCCAATAATAAATTAAAATAGTGGGGGAAGTTAGGTTAGTTTTTTTGAAGTTTGAAGAGTCAGCACTTTAGCAAGAAACTCAGCTACTGGAGTCGTAGTTTCCAGAGAAAAGTCGTGGAGGAGGAAACCTGTCAGAAGCTGGGGGGGACCAGAGAAGCCCGAGATGATTGGTCCTAGAATTCGGTCTCGGAGATCTCTAAACTTGGGGCAGTGACACAGGATATGCGAAACTGAATCGGGTTCTAATCTGCAAAGGTTACAAGTTCTTTTTTCGAAGGGTACTCGGGCATATCGCCCCTTGAGGACCTCGGAGGGGAAAATATTCAGCCGCGCTAGCATAAAAGCCCTCCTGGTTAGGGGGTTCAGCAGGGAGTGTAAGTAAAAATGTCCAGAGCCAAAGGTAGGGAAGATACCATAGTGGATAGGCGAGCATGTTTGGTTGATACTGGAGACCAGATGGATATACTCGGACTCCCATAGTTTCTCTTTAACAAGAGAGAGTGCCTGATCAAAATTGCTGTTAAAGATGGAGTTTAAAGGTATACCAATCGATCCAAGTTTGGTTTCACATAACGTAAACCACTTGGATTGATAATGATCCTTAAGAAGATGAACTAAAAGAGAGTCTGGGTCTGTTTTAAAGAAAAGGCGGAGCCAGAATTTGAATGTGAGTGCCCACGCTACCGATGAGGGTAGATGCATGCCTAACTCTAGGGCTATAGTCGATAGTTTAATTGAAGTTGGTATCCCTAGAATCCGGCGGTAAAAAGAGGCAGCCAGTAGATCTACTTTGTTGTCCATAGCATTTATCCAAATTGGGGCGCCATAGAGTAGGCGGTTAATCAGTTTTGCCTGAAAAATTCGGGTGGCAGCTGGAACAAACTGGTTCCCAGAGTTATAATGGAATTTAGTTATCGCACCAAGAAGGCATGAGGTGGATGCGATTGCAGAATCTCTATGTGTGGTCCATTTGAGTTGAAAATGGAATAGTAAACCTAGATACTTAAAGGATCTCACCTGTTCAATCTGTTGACTATTGGTTTTCCAGTGTAAGGGCTTCCATGATTTTGAAAAGACCATAATCTTGGTTTTCTCAGCGTTAATAACAAAATCATTGCGTAAGCAGTAAGATTGAAAAAGAGAGAGAAGTTGTCTTAGACCAAGACTAGATATAGAAAGGAGAGCCGCATCATCCGCGTATAACAGAAGGGGAACGGGTATCTTATTTAGGAACGGAGCAGACTTTTCGGCTGGCAGCAGCTGAGAACGTAGATCTGCTAAAAAAAGGTTGAATAGGAACGGAGCTAAGATGCAACCCTGTCTCACTCCTCTGTTAATTGGGATCTTTTC